GTTACAAGTACAGGGTGTCGACGCTGGCGAGCACGAATGTAACAAGTCCATCCACGGACTAATGTTGATGGAGCATGGCCACGGGAAAGCAAACGGCGGACACGCATGGTTGCCGCAGTTCCGAAATCATGCCAACTGTCACAAATCCGCTCAAACCGCGTAAGCTGACCAGTGAACACACCTACAGGCTGATGAGATGGAATGTTCAACGTTGCACTAGGATATCGTATGTTAACAGGAAAATCCCATGCAACAGTCTTATCAAACATACTCGATTAGATATCCGTCTGCCCGTGTCCGCAGTTTTGCACCTAAAAAGGTGCACGAGCCATCAGCCGCAGTGGTCTCTTTCCATTCAAAGACCATAATAGGCTGGCGATGGTGGCAGACAATCAAAGGTAAGAACATCATCAATGAACCAATAAGTGAAAACATATAGGCGGGCTGCAGAGGGATCCACATGCTGCAGGTTGTCCACGTACTGCGCCTCATCCCAATAGAGTGTGAGGTTAGCAATCTCAGGACCAGCGTTTGTACCCATTGGAATACCAACTTCTTGATGCGAACAAGGCCATCCGCTGTATATAGATATCTGTTATTAACAATAAACCGAAGATGTTGAAGAATGTCAGACACAGAAAGAGTGTCAGGTCCCGTAGTCCATTCCCCTGCACGCAGTGCACGGACCACCATACGAAGAGCAACACAGGATGAGTGTGTCCGTGTATGCGGCCGTGCCTGTGCAAGAGCATAGGCATGTGCCTCATCAACGGCATTAGCAACATTGTTAAGAATCCATTGATGAGAAAGATTAGTATACATCGTAGTGAAATTGACCGTACAAGGGGCCAGACCTCGGAGAGAAGCTTTATTCTTTTTGAGGTCAACCATGACCTCGTCACTGCTCTGGACAATCCAACATCGTTGAACACCTTCGGATTGGAAGAGTTGATTGCAAAGAGTACGGATGACACCTTGAACTGCCGCACTCAAACGAGCCGACGTTGGCGTTGTACAAGCCACAGGTTTGTGAGGCGGTCGGTGATGCAAACGCTGGACTCGTTGGGAGGGGCGCAAGTCACACCGCTGGGCCGTATGGGAAGAAGAAGAAGAAAGATTGTTGTGGGCAGTGATACCAAGAATAGTACGGAGTGTGGGAGGAGACTTATGGGCCTTAAGAACGCAATAAAGATATGGCAATGTGTCAGCATGAGGATAATTCCAGCGATTGTTCCAAAGTGCATGGCTATTCAAACTGTCCGCCACTGTTTCGGCGGGCTGAGAATACACAGGACTGTCCAGATGAGTAGAAAGATGAAACCGATACCAGTTTTCACAACA